CTGTATGTTCCCATTCTGAAATTTAGATTCATTTATATGAGATTTCTAAGAGACAGGAAAGCTCACATTTACATATAATTTTATCAGAACATCAAGGAAAATGGAGCAGAGTCCAAGTATCTTCTCCCATTCCTGTGGTAAAATCCATTTAATGTAAAGCTGATACTAAAATAATTACTGAGCCGGCGCCGTGGCTCAATAGGCTAATCCTCCACCTTGCGGCGCCGGCACACCGGGTTCTAGTCCCGGTTGGGGCGCCGGATTCTGTCCCGGTTGCCCCTCTTCCAGGCCAGCTCTCTGCTATGGCCAGGGAGTGCAGTGGAGGATGGCCCAGGTGCTTGGGCCCTGCACCCCATGGGAGACCAGGAAAAAGCACCTGGCTCCTGGCTCCTGCCAGGATCAGCGCGGTGCGCCGGCTGCAGCGGCGGCCATTGGAGGGTGAACCAACGGCAAAGGAAGACCTTTCTCTCTCTGTCTCTCTCTCTCACTGTCCACTCTGCCTGTCAAAAAAAAAAAAAAAAAAAAAAATAAAATAATTACTAACTCCTTAAAAATATAATATGGTGTATTACCAGTTATAATGAACATGGAAAGATTTTTATTAAAGATGGAAATAATTTTCAGAAGACCACTGTAAATTAAAAGTGACTATTTGAGTTGCTTGGCTTTGGACAAATAACCAATAATAATTTGTATTTCATTAATTCATTAAGGTGCCTTCAATCACACTTAACTGTATTAAAGATCAATAAGCAAGGTATAGTCATTGTATACATGATTCTCCAGAATGGGGCTATTACAAACCTAGAGCATGAGCCATCTTATTTGCACTTTATTCATTTCATACCTGAGATATTGGTGGTCACATTGATGGCTGTGGCTGGCCCAAAGCCTTTGACAGTGCTGGCTCTTATGAAAAACTGATAAGTGGTTCCAGGATGGAGATGCATGAAGACATGGTGGGTGCTGTTCCATAAATTTGAAACAGTCTGGGGAGGTCCTGCTACTAGAACTGCAGGATCAAATGATCTGATGCTGCTATAGCTGACCTGTTTGAAGAAATATATTTTCCATTATGCATCCGATATAAGTCACAATAAACTGTTAGTACAGCTCTAGTCCTGTCAAATAAGGTGATGTGCAAGGGCATTCTTGTGCAGTTGATCATAATTTTTTTTCCCACTGACTTTCCTTCTCTCTTTGATATGGTTATTTCTGTTATTCTGGCTTTGCCTATCTACCAACTATCTATGTGAAACTATCTATGTGTATCTAGAATTATGTATTTATGATACACTAGGATTATGTCTAAATACACAAAATACATTTTATTCAAAGAAACTAATATATGTACCTATGCATATATATAAAACCTTATGGTTATATACTGTAATGTTCATGAGACAGAAAGTATTCACCATAAGTTTATACGCTGTCCACATTACATAACAAATTTCATATAAATAGTATTCAAGCACCATGACATAATTACCAAATCAAAGATTCACTCATGGTTCTCACTTCCATGATTCATTCTGTAGCCACCAGAATTTAAACTTTTACGCTGTAGTCAACGCTGACTATGCAGAAATGGAACTGGGCATTTTTTGCCATTTGAATTATCTTTCATTTCTCTTTTTTCTTTCTTATGTCTAAGAAAGAAATTTCTTATATTTAAAAATATGATTCATATTAAAAGCTGACATGAATCTCTAAAATACTCAGACTTATAATCTATCTTATTTCTTGGGTATTAATTTCTTACTTTTAAATCACAGCACGATATGAGTTTCCTAATTTTATAAAAAAGGAAAGCAAGGGATTTCATGTTTGATTATTCATTACAACCATCAGTAAAACTGTCTGACAAGGACAATCCCTTTGTATCTACTTTAAATTCTACATGTTATCAATATTTGATATTCAATTTTAGAATCATAGAAAAATGAAAGCAAAGAATTCACACTGATTTTAATCCCATATTCCTCATGAACTTATTTTCCATTATTTCCCTTCAGTTGATTACTTTATTTATTTATTTTGCTCCTCTTAGTCCTTCAATTCAATTAACATTCTTTTCTCCCATTACCTCATACTGAGTGATGATTCCATTCGGTTCCAAAGGTTCTTTCCAGTTCAAGAAGATCTTATTTTCAAAGGATGTTCCTTGAAGAGATTTGACAGGTACAGGACCTGGCACTACAAATACATGAAATTTTGTTTATAAGCATCCTTACATTAAAAACAGAAAATATCTAGCTTGTAAGTGAGGTAGACAAAATTAAAAATCAACATGAAGTAACAAAAATGTGTTTGTACGAAGAAAATAAGTTATCTAAGTTTAATATTTGGGAACTTAAAGTAAGTCTATAAGGTTCTAAAACAAATAAATGCAAAAATGTAAAATTATTTTAACTCAAAAGAATATTCATCACCTCAGAGAGTTGCATACATTATATAGTCTAGTTTTCTCTGTTGTTTTATCTATAATAATATGAAGTTCTTATTTGTAATTTGTTTCAAGAACAAGAGCTGTATTTCACTAAGAGATTTTTGAAAATTGGGATAATCCTCTAAAGAGTCTGTACAAACAAGTCCTTAAAACAATGATTTACTATAATAATTAACACTCCTTGGACTCACAAAGCCAAATCACATGGCACAGAATTGAAATGTTCATTAACAGTTAATCTATTATTGCTATATATACTAGATTTTGTATAATTTTAAAAACAGCATTATTACTTTTTTAAAAACTTGCTAAAGTTGAAAAGTTTAAGTATCACTGCTTCATTATTTTAAATAAAATTCAATCTTTAAAGCTATGACTCAAACACTTACAAATATCAGTGTTGTTTATAGCTCAACAATCTACAAACTACTTTGAAGTGACCCCAGATACGATCATTTTTGAGGTGCCTTTACTCCAGTCCTTACTTGATATCATTTAACTGTGATAATCCGTAGCAGCGTTTAATGATGGCTTACCTTCTGTTGGCAAAATATGATATTCCTGCTACCCTATATTTTCCTTCTATATATTTTATTTAAATATCTAACTGCTATTGCGTTACAAAAATCTAGCTTCAACTTCTGATGTTTTTAAAATATATACTATTTATCATACTTGGCTTAAAAATGTATTTCCTTTTGAAAATTTCAACCTAACATTAGGCAAGTATGGTTTTTAATTAATATTTTCCCTTAATCTCACGTTTCAGTGAACTTCACACATGACATTATCTAGAAATGTCATTTCAAAGTATAGAGCAATTTTGTGAGGATTGAAATAAATTAAAAATCACTGGATCAAAGGAATGCATTGCATTGTGGCTAGCAGCATCAAGAAATTCTGAATGATATGTCAAGAGTAAGATTTATTTCAATCTACAAGGAGACTATAAATGATATTATGACCTCTGAGACAGGCAACATGATTTGGCACATTAATTATAAATGTATAAAGGAAAGAAACCCATGGTAAACAGAAAAGAGGCCAGCACTAAACTTCAGAAGCCGTGTTCATGCATCCGTCAGCTGGAGGCTTAGGGAAAGGTTAACCAAAGGCATCCAGGCCCCTCTCCCACCTGCAATCCATCTACAAGCACAGGCAGCCTATCAAATCAAATGGCAGTGGCAGCCTGATTGCACAATCCATGGCAGTCCCTGAGGTTGCTATGGGCGTTGATTTGTTTTCCAAGGGAGTACCTGTTACTTCTATTCCACTGAGATGACTTACGTTGACTGTAATTAAGGAAAGCATACTATTATATCTGTCCGTACTTCCCACAGAAAGGGGTACGGGGGGCTGGTATGGTAGGGAGAGACTATTCAGTGAGTAAATGTTCAGTTCCCGGCATTAGAATTTTAAAAACTGCATATGATCATTCACCACAGTTTGGTCAACAAATACTATAAAATGTCAACTTTTCAAAAATAGGGATGGTATGAAATGTTTGCAAAATTCTGCACTGAAAATTGGGTAGAACTGGAAAGTAACTTCCCTGGAATTTTTGTATTTCTAGGCTCTTTGTACACATGTTCATTTTTTTCAAAAAAATTTACTTCAAATAGCTACAGTCACATTTATAAGAAGGAAGGTGTGTAGGGAAAAGCGTGTACAAGAGAATGTCATAGTACGACCTTGTAGTTGGGCTAGTATAGGGGCTGAGAAAAACTACAAATAGGTGAACTACAAAACACACACACATGAACAGGCCTGAGCATGATGAGGCACAGACCAAGTATATTCCATAATGTTCTGCATTAGAAGGAAGATGGTATCTACATAAATAGCATCTCTATGTACTTATGATTTGTGTAAATACAACATGAAGCTACTGAAGCTGTTTTCATGGCGGGCTGCAGGTCACAAGAAATGTCACATCACATTTCCACATCAACAACTTTTAATGGAGACAGAATGCTGACTTTTTCCCCTGCTTGTGATTTATATGAGAGCTGTTTCAGCTAATTTTTTGTGAGTACAGAAAGTACTTTACTATCCAAGTCTCAAAATCTAAAAGAGGAAAAATGATATGTGGGTGGGGCAGGATTATATTTTTAATAAGCATCATAGCCTTTAAAATATAATAGGTGTACTTTTAAAAATAGCTTTGTATTCTCCAAAAGTGTCCTTAAACCAGGTTTTTCTGCTGAGCTAACTCCATAATATTGATTTTCATGAATGCTGGAATAAAAAATGAAAACAAAACCTCATATAAAAATTCTGCCCATGCATTAAAAAATGTCTGCAATAAATTAAATATAAATTCTACCTTAGGGTTCTGGAGGGAAATCATTCCAGCTTTGCTCTCATGATTTATGGATGTCCCAAGAATTCTTTTCATAAAATTATGTCCTTTTATTAGATGGTTGATAATTCATTCTTTTTCTATGTATATAGGGTGGCAATAATTTAGTAAGACTGACTTAATCAGATCATCATATTCCATCGATCTTTTCAACAATAGATTATGATTTAGATATTCTTTCCCCCCTCAGGAGCACTAAGATACATCAAGTACTCTGTGTGGAAATAGAAGCTTACATGGACAGATCTGAAAACAGAGTTACCTGCAAATACTTCACAAAAGTTTGTATATCAATCCTTCTATGATATTTATAAAATAAAAACTAAAGGATACTCATAGCAGACTGGATTAGTTTGTGACTACACTGTTAAATAACTATAACTTAACATCAGTAAGAAAGTCTCTAAAACAGGCTCAACTAAAACTGAGACTGAATATAATGCTAAAATTAGAACAGATGTTTAATATCAATTTACTTTTATATGATGATTTGTGGACCAAATAAATTCTAAGTCATGAATTTTGTTTAACTTAGGACATAATTTAAAATTCCACAGCCATTCATTCCCTCATCATTAATCTAATCATACAGACACAAAAATGCATTTAAAAATTTAATGCTAGATTATATAAGCCTGACCGCATTCTTTTGTTTGTGAGAAAGAAAGGCAATCTCACAAACTATCAAAAAATAATAGCATCAAATTTGATTTGTATTCTTGGATGGTGACTGATTAAAAAAAGTGCAAGCTCAACGAAATGAGTCTAACGTTACCAGTTAAGAAATCATGGCCTTTAAAATCTTAGATGCAAATAATAAAATATTGTGTATAGTTACTAATCAAAACATAGGTTGCATAATGTGTAATATGACACAGACATTGTAACATTTATCCCACTTTATAAAAATGAGATAGAAATTTTTGAGTTTTTCAATCCATGCATAGATAGGCTCTCATTTCTATCATCTGCCTATGTAACAACTACTGCTAACCTCCTAGCATTAAAAACATTGAGTCTGTATATGCGTGCGTTTGTGTGTGTGTGTGTACGTGGCAGAGTTGTTTAAATATTGTTGTCCTTTCAATTAGATCCAAGTACAATGATGATAGCTGAGGAAATCACAGTTGATTACCTCAAACATGAACAAAGTAGACTGATCCTAAATAAACCTACATCTGAGGTTCATTCTCTGGAGCTTTAGGGACTACATTTAATTGTAGGATTATAAAATTTGGCTTCTTCAACGCTGGACTGACACGAGGATACCTGAGCTCTCACTTCTCTTTATTACAACAATACAACAGAGTAGGAAGGTATGCAGTGATAAGGAAGATCTCTAGAAAGCACAGTGCATTAACATACTACTCGGCAGTCTCGTAGTTGGTAGGCACCAAAAGATACATCTGAGACAAAAATTCAGAACTGAGGGAAGGTGGAAACATCTAGTTATGAAACAGTCCTGCAGTCCAGCTGTGTAGTTACCCAAGAATTTTAGAAGGGAATGTAACCTTAGAGATCACCTAATATCAATCCCTCATTTAGAGATGAGAAATGGAGAGTTAGAGTGGTGAGGGAATTTGCTAAGGTTATGGTGGTACAAAAGCCGGATGCAGGGGCTGGTGCTGTGGCGTAGTGGGTAAAGCCACGGCCTGCAGTCTTGCATCCCACACAGGTGCTGGTTGGATCAAGTTCTCTGCTATGGCCTGGGAAAGCAGTGGAAGATGGCCTAAGTTCTTGGGACCCTGCACTCATGTGGGAGGCCCGGAAGAAGCTCCTAACTCCTGGATTTGGATAGGCCGAACTCCAGCCATTGAGACCATCTGGGGAGTGAACCAGTGGATGAAAGGCCCCACTCCCCTACCCCACTCCCGCCTCTGCCTCTCTGTAACTCTTAAATAAATAAATCTTAAAAAAAATCCAGATGCAAAGCTGATGATTCCCAACTCCCATCTTAGCTTTGCCTCAGGTCGCTACACAGCACACTTTCTCCCTCACAGGCCTGTATTCAGGAAAACAAAATAATTCAGTTACTTGGATAATAATTTGATCTATCAAAGATGGTAGCTTGTTAAAATCATACAAGGATCAGAATTAAACATATGAACTATTAGCATCTTTTACATTTAGACTCACATAAAGTCATTTCAGAGTGAATACAAAGGATAAACAGCATTGTCTTCAAATGTTAGGAAAATAAAAGCAGCTAGTATTGGTACCTATATGATATAAAAATCTAAAATTATTATTCAAGTGTATTTAACTAATTGGTAAATTGAAATAAGTAACATGGGGAAATATTGAAAATTATTTTTGAATGCTTTACTCTAAAGAATTTAGTTAAGCTTTTAGTGTAATTGCCACTTTTATATCACTGTCTCAAAGAGAAGCCACTAGAGGTACATTTCATTTAGGATGTTTCTCTTTAAGTTTTGCTAAAGGTACACTCTTTGCAAAGTAAACATCATTAGGAAAACTGGCCAAGAATCAGAGTCCAGTTTGCTGCTTGGTAAGCTATGGAAAATTTTAAGGCATTATATTACTCTTGCTAACAAAAGAAGTAAGGGTTTCTGGGCATACCATCTTCATCAGTCTGAATAACTGTCTCCTCACTCTCCTTCCTTCCTTCTGGATTGGTTAGGATCATCTTGAGGCTGACGTTGGTGTAAGGCGGCAGATGGTTCACAACATGCTGAGGGGCTTTTGGGTCCATGTCCAAACAATCAGCCTTGCTCTCGTTGTGGCCACGAAAGTAATGGTAGCAGATCGTGACATTAAAAGTGTGGCAGCGAGTAATGTTGTAACCCAGGGACTCCCAGTCCACAGCAATGCGTCTTGCTTGTATTTCAGCGATTTTTAACGTCTTTGGGGTTCGCATGGGTTCTGAAAAATAAGACAGGGTTTCAGACAGCTGTTAACTTAACCATGAACCATCTTAGAAACACAGAGCATAATATAGAATAAGTAAATCCTGAAAAACGTGAAGTCATCTTTTTCTTTTCCTTTTATAATTGCTTATAATCTCTTTGAAAAGTATCAAAGACTATGCTTTACAAATAGAGAAAGAAATGAAATGAAAAATGTCAATGATCCATAGCATTGATGAATCTGGCAGAAAAATTAAAGCCTGGAATTGTGGCCACAATGCCTTCACAGTTGTTACTGCCCAATTCCCCATACCCCTTTTCTTTTGTCATTATTGAGCAGGTGAATTAGCTAATATATCATAATGGATAACAGTCAACATACTCTGCTCTATGATTTGTCATGTCACCAAGCTATGCTGTATACTAATTAGTCTAGCTGTAACACTGAACTACCATTTACAAAAAATGGTGCAGATATGAATTAACATTAATTACTTCAGTAATGATGCTGTTCATCAAAGCAAAAAAAAATCTGAGAAAAATTACAAGAACGCATGTGGATGTTCACAATGTCTTCTTTTCTTCTTGATCTCTGTTTTTTTCTAGAAAACATTCAGGTCTGACAATCCATTCACTGTCATCCAAACCAAACTGGGAAGGCAATTTCCATTCAACTGTAAAATGTTGGCAGAACTAAACGCTCCAAAGACTGGTATCCATCCATCACTACTTCCCAAGTGTATTCTTCCTCATGCGAGACTAACATTAATTGTCTAATTTAATCAACATAATTTCTTCATGAATGTCACGACCATCACAAAGTCTACACAGTAAAAAACTAACATAGAGCAAAACGTTAATACACTGATTTGACAAAAAGAAAAAGTCAAGAATTTGCTGGTGCCTCCTTTTATTCACTAAAGGTATGCAACACTCCTGTTAAGCACAAATCATTGAGGAAAAAGAAGAAAAATAAATTATACAAAAGTGTCCAACTTAGGTATAATTATAGATTTTTTATTTTTGAGATTAAAAACTCTTATTTGTAAAAATAATCAGCAAGTTAAACAGATGACAAACCCAAATTAAGATTCCAGTTTCATGCATTTAATGTGCAACTGGAAATAAACTATGGTGGCCATTCAATTTTCAACCTTGAAACTACAAAAAAAAAATCTATCTATGTATGTATCTATCTATATGAAAATAAATCTTTGGTGGAATCTAATGCTTAGTTAATAAATATTATTTGCCAATTTTATGGTTCTTTATATTATTGTACTCTCCTATTTTACCACTTTTGTTTTATGTTTCACCTTATGAACACAGATAGGCTAGAAGACAATTTTTTAATTATCTTTTTAAAAAGCTTTATTTGTTGAGCTCTATGCTAACATTTTACCACCCAGATATAACAATGAATTGATGATACTTCAATTCAGTCTCGTTATACTGAAAACAGTGTTGAACACAACCATTTTTGATGCCACCGCCTGCCAGCTGAGCAGGCACTTATTGCTAAGACACCTTAAAAATTCCCAGGTAATGGTGGACAACTGGCCTAGCACTAAAGATGCTGGTTAAGATATTCAGGTTCAAATGCAAATTCCAAATTCTGATTCCAGTCTCCTCCAAATGCAGACCCTGATAGCTCATGTAGTTGTGTTGCTGTCATCCATGTAAATAACTCAGACTGAGTTCCTTGCTTTTGGCTTTTGCTCTGGAGCCTTGATGGGCTATGGGGATGTGATCTAGCAGATGAGAGCTCACTCGCTCTCTCTTTTTTCCTGGCTCATTGTCTGTCTCTAGAATAAGTAAATTAAAAAAAAAAGATATTTTCTAAAAAATTCTGAGATAAACTGTGATTTTGCTTCCTGCTGGGCAGCTGCCAGATACTATTTAGGGGCCATGTTCAGATTAGTGTACACTTGGTTATAAAGGTATTCAAAGGACAGAATAAGATTTCCCATGAAAATATGTGGAGTATATGAATGAACAACTCTCATACAGCAATGAGAGAAAAAAAAATAAAAATTTACTCCTTTATTTTTTTTTAGGTCTAGCACGTGCATGTGTGCACACATACACGCACACACAGATGAAAGGAACTAGTAAGTTGCTTAAAGAAAAGTAGTAATAATTCAGGAGAGTTAAAATACTATTTGGTAGAATCCATTAACATGACATCTTCATTTTGTATGATAATTCTGAGCTAGAAAATAGACAATGGTAACTTCAGTTTGAAAATTAGTAAGTCAGGAATAGCCAGAAGTTAGGGTGATAGAAGAAACACCATGAAATCAAACTTCTAGAATCATTCTGCTTCTTTTTGAAATCTGTGTTTAGTGGATATCACTCATCCAAACCCTCCCCCTAAATCATCAATCAGCAACCAGGGGTTCAGACTAGGTATT